AGGTTCCCTCTTTTGAGAAAACTTAGTGACAAAGCTTTTATATGTAGGTGAGATGCTCTGGTAGTCCACTACATCTGAAATAAAATAGGAACAACTGCCAGCAGTTGTATTCTTCTTTGTCAAAACATAATCTGTATGCCAAATTGGAGGTTTAGCTGATCTACTTGACCTTCTGGTAACAACAGTAGGAGTCTGCACTGATAATTCAGGGTCCTGAGAAGTAACAGAAGCAGCATTGTCTGATAGTTGAGTATCATTAGGATCCCTGTGAGAATGACCACTAGATGATGCAGATATTGTTGTGTCCTCAGTTGCAATAATAGGTGTTGCACTTCTGATAACAACACATGGTGTGAGCTCACTGTCTTCTACATGTGAATATGATATTGAGGGTTCATGATCTGCATCTTCTCTAAATCCTAGAGACTGAAATGGAAACTCAGTCTCATGAAAAATTACATCTCTGCTAACAAAAACAACCTTAGATTCAACATCTAATAGTTTATATCATTTTTGACTGACAGCATAGCCAAGAAATACTGCTTTCTTAGCCTTTGGTGCAAACTTGTCATCTCTTCTCAGGTCTGTGGGAAATGCAAGACAACCTATCACTCTGATGTGAGCCAGAGAAGGTTGACCTTTTGTACAATACCTCATAAAGAGACCTATTCCCCAATACTAGATAAAGGAATTCTATTAATGATATAGGTTGCAGCTTCTATACATTCTCCCCAAAACCTATTCGGTAGATGCCCTTGAAACTTTACAGCTCTTGCTGTCTCTAATAAGTGTCTGTGTTTCCTTTCCACAACTCCATTTTGTTGTGGAGTGTGTGGACAAGATCTTTGATGAATAATCCCATGCAACATAAAGAGATCATGACAGTTAGAGTTTAGAAATTCTCCTCCATTATCAGACCTGAAAACCTTAACACAATTCCCAAACTGATTCTTTAGCATTGCCAGAAAATGTTTCAGCACAACAATTACATCAGACTTCAAAGCAATTAAGAAAGTCCATGTCCATCTAGATTTGTCATCCACTAAAGTGAGAAAGAACCTTTTTCCACTATGAGTGGTGACCTTATATGGACCCCAAACATCCATATGTACTAAATCAAATATATCAGCAACTATAGTATGACTAACAGGGAACTGACTTCTAGTCTGTCTTGCTTGTGGACAAATGACACACTTATCAATGGTAAAACTATTACAAGTACTAAAGTCTTTTATTCTTCTAAGAACTTCCATGGGAACATGCCCTAGTCTCTTGTGCCAAAGTTCTGCACCTGCATCTCCTCTCTTGACTGCAGACATTATCTTAATCCTGTCCTTGTGTGGTCTTGTTTTCGAGTCCATCACATATAATCCTTCCTCTACTCTACCAATCCCCTTTACCTTCCCAGATAAGAGATCCTGAAACACACAGTATGTAGGGAAAAAAGAAACAGAACAGTTTAACTCTTTTGTCAGTTTGTTTACATATAAAAGATTAAACCTAAATTCTGGTATGCACAATACATCTGTGATTATATCATTATCATTCAGTTGAAAATTTCCAACATGTGAAACAGTAGCAAAGTCTCCTGTAGGCAGCTGCACTTTACTTAGCCTATTCATCATGTTTTCATCTTGCAAGTAAATGTGATTATGTATCATGTGATTTGTAGCCCCAGTATCTATAATCCACTTTAATTGAGAACAACGATTACCTGCCATATTGACACTCTTTTGAGGATCCATGTTGTTGTTGTCCCTTTTCAGCATATTGAAAATTTGGTTCAATTGTTCTGGTGAAGTGTTGTTCAACAACTGAAATAACTGTTCCTGTGTAACTTGATCTCCCATCTGATGTTCTCCTATAGCTATGTGAGCCTTCTTCTCCTTGTGATCCTGCAAGTCCTGCATCTGTGAGTACATATTACCATCCCCTATAACTGCATTTGCCTTTTTCTTCCCTTTGAAATTTTCTGGATATCCGATGAGTAAGTAACAATTATCCTTCACATGCCCAGTCGTATGACAATGATCACACTTCTTCAGCTTGTTGCAATTTTTCCTAGTGTGTCCTTTCATGTCACAAAAATCGCAATACAGATGGTTCTTCCTAGGAGTTTGTCTAGAATCAAACTGAGGTTGAAAGTAAAACTGAGGTGGCCTGTGATTCCTTGTAGTATACATTGCTAAGGATTCCATCCCTTCATGTATAGATCCAGTGATTCCCTTCTGACTTTCATCTTGTATAACTAAAGCATATGCTTGATTCACATTAGGAAGACTAGGCATTATTAAAATCTGACCTCTTGCCTGTGAATAACTATCACTCAAACCCATCAAAAACTGTAACAATCGCTGATACTGCATCTGTTCAACATAGTCCTTAGCCTTGTGACAATCACAACTAGGAGGAGGCAAAATAGAGTCATACTCATCTCATAGGTTTCTCAATTTTGTATAATAAGAAGAAACAGATGATGTGCCCTGTGTAAGGGTGAAAATACTCCTATGTAATTGATAAATCCTAGATCCATTTATTTTATCAAAACGTTCCTTCAGATCAAGCCATACCTGATGTGCACTGGATGAATAGAGAATTCCACTCAATAATTCCTTACTCACATTGCAGGTGAGCCAAGAGATCACTATTGCATTGCATCGATCCCAAATTTTCTTCAAAGCACCATCAAAATCACAGCGTAGAACAGAGCCATCAATAAAACCCAATTTGTTTCGTCCGAGTAGGGCCATCTCCATAGCTCGACTCTATAACGTTTAATTCTCCATGCATGTTAGTTGAATACCAACAGAGAGAGCTCCTGGCACATCAGAAGAGCTCAGATAGAGTGGATGATTGTGATCAAGTGCCATCAATCCACCATTGACAGACTCTCCTTGAACTCTGTCAACAGATCCTCCCGTCAATACTTCCTCAATTGCCATGTTTGAGCTGCGAAATCTCTCGATCTATCGTCAATTCCAGCTGAGATGAATCCCTAGATTCGTCCTCCTTGCTCTGATACCATGTAAAAAACTCAATAAACTGATAGATAAACTTCCATCTTATACAATCAATGACTTACAGATACAGAGAAAATGATTACTTCTTCTATGAATGAACTTCTGTACATATATAGAAAATGAAGACTTTCACTAACCAACTCACTGACACATCTAACAGAATCACGTGCATTTAATTTAACTAAAACATTTGCTTATTAGCTGACAGTTGTATCTGGAACTAACTTCTCAACAATTTCAGCCATGGAATTGTTTTGGGAGAGAAAAGGCAAAATCGCCAAAGCAATGTTAGTGATCAGAAATGTAATATCACCCGAGAAAAATTCGAACCAAAATTGAAACCTCCAAAAGTGAGACAAAAAAAATAGAAAAATCAAAGCCCAAGCCAAAAAGGAGGAAAAAAAAGATAAATACCCGATGAAGAGTTTTGGTTGATTTTGATTTCTACCATTTGCATATGAGTAAATAAATTAAAGAGTAGAGAAAACAGGGCCACATACTACTTGGCTGGAATATTATAACTTTTATTCAATGACTAAAATACCCCAGCACATACTACAATTTTTGTGGCTGTGTTCAGGAGTGCACGTGGTTTGCTTACAAATTAAATAGCCATACACGTGTCAACAGGGAAAAGATGAAGGCCTATGTATAAGGTACCATCCACAGAGCTTTTGGTACAACAATTTATGTATTGTGATATCTTAAATTTTATTTAATGTATAACCTTTTGTGATAAAGGAAGGTGGTAGTAGTAATTGACAAGAAAAAAAAGTTAATACATAAAGGCTACTCAAATAGATAAATCATGTAAAGCATACAAAAATTCACATTGTTAAACAACTCTCACAACACGTCTTATCTCATAATAATCGCAATACATGAGAAATAATTTTTAAAAGATTGACAGAATCTGTAAATATAGTTTCGAGTTAATATCTCAAAAGGTCACTCAACTTTCAGAATTTATCTAGTAAAGTCATTAAACTTTGTTTTGTATCATTAAAATCACTAAACTTAGACATTTCTATCAATAAAATCACTCAATCAAATTTATCACTAAAAAAAGTATTGGCATAGCAAAATAATTATTATTTGTATATCATATAAATATGAATCCCACAATAACTAAAATTAAAGAAATGTCATTAAGAACTCTTCACTTCCTCTCACAAAACTTAAAAAAAAAAAAAAAAAACTAAAATGTATGTCCAAACACAATTTTAAATTTCAAAACTTATTTATCAACAATTTTGAAAATTAATTTATTCAAGCTTAAACAAATCTAACTTTAGCAAACAGTGGAATTACAAAGGAAAAGTAAGATCTTTACCTATTATATATAGCAAGAAACATCTAAATAAATTACACGCTGAAGAACTTAATTAGTAATAACACTTACATGTTCTATTTTGACATTTGTTTATTGTTTTTCTCCTATTTTGGATTTAATTTGTTGTTTTGCTGAAGTACTTGTACTCATTTTTTTTATTAAGGAGGCAAACTAAATATTATGGTATTATAGTAATACCAAAGTATGTTTCACTAAGAATATTTTTTCATTTATTTATTAAATCAAGACATAAACTATACAACAGTATCATAAAATATTTGTTTTCGTGATTAAGTCTATTCGAATTTTTTTAATAAGTTTTCTTTAATTTTATTTATTTGTGGGTTCGTGTTTACCTGATATAAAAATATACAAGTAATTTATTTTGCTATGCCAATATTTTATTTAATAATAATTTTAATTGAGTGATTTTATTGATAGAAATGTCTAAGTTTAATGATTTTATTGATACAAAACAAAGTTCAATGACTTTGCTAGATAAATTCTCAAAGTTGGGTGACCTTTTGAGATATTAACTCTATAATATCACGACCCTTTCAGTAGATTGCTTTAGTTATTGCACTACTGAGAAATCTATGATTTCTATTCATAATTTTATCAAATCCGGAGTTTTCCGGACTCCATTATAATAAAATCAAACCACCGTAAAATTAAATACATCTAGCATATACATATCATTTGTAGCCTAAGTATTTTTTTCATCTAGTAATTGTAAGGAGTGATGCAACTTTGATTTTACATGTGTTCAAACTTTTGTATTGCTCTTTGATTTCCTTGGTGTCCACATTGCTTCATGTCTTGTTAGAATGGGAGCTGTCTATCCAATTTTAGACCTAGAGCTATCTGTCAACAAAGGTGTAGTATAAGGACTTTTGACATTTACAAAAGTGTTGTAAACCTTGTGATTAAAGTACTATCAAAGGAAAGAAATGTGTTTTGTAATAGAAAGTGTCAACAACGAGCTAACCTATTGAAAGTTATGTTGGAAGAGTTTCTTTGATTTTTGCAGATAGGAGTGAGCTCATAGAAATTTATAAATCAATTTTAATCATAGAACAATATTAAGTAACTAATTTTACAAGATCCAATGAAAAGCATAGGCTATAAAGTGAACATAATTTTTTTTGTAGAACATAATTGTGTTACTTACCTTTCCAAATTTTGTTCATAAATTTTTTCCGTATTCTAATCAAACGCATCTTCTAAATGGACAGTAGTCAAATGACCATATTTGAGATCACTACATCAAAAATAATCATTAGCAAAAAACAGACTTAAAACATACCATTCAACCCGTCTCTGATGACATAGTTAACAAGTACTCATACTTCCAGACAAAATGTCTGACAACACTCATCATCTAACAGTTTATTCGAGTTATCGAAGACATCAAACGTGTAGTTTAGACAACGTGACTAAGGTACTCCTCCACGGTGGTGTACTTAACATCTGGATAAACTTCAGATGCCTCAACCCCAAACGATGGCTCAATCTCAAAATTGGTATGATCACCGTTCACGAATGTTGAGTGGTTGACTGATAGCATGTAATTGATTAGCGTTACAGATGCTGCAACAGTATGCAATATACATTGTCAGGATTACCTATGTTAAATTGAAAGAAATAGTAGTAAATATGAATGATATAAAGATTACTGACGCTGGATGTCTTTGAGAATTTGCTCCCCTGGAACGTAGATTTTCTCGAGAGTTTTACCAATCAGTTTCTCCCATATAGCCACAAGCTCGTTGAACGATAAGGTGTTCTTGGGAGGCCTGATGTAAAGGGACTTGTTCAACGTTCTCGGGTCATCAACAGCCTTAATGGTGTAGGTGCCAATGTCATGTTCTTCATTGAATACAGCTGCAGACAAACAGAACAAAGCACACAAATATGAGACATTTTATCATGAACTTGTTCTGTTGGCAAGCGTACCAAATTCAAATCAATGGAGTAATTTTTTTCGACTTACCCTTAACATTCCCATCTCCAGGAATGATGACTTTGTCTCGAGGAGGAGCAGTGGCTCCTGTCTGGACCAAATTTGGTAAGAAACAACCAGCAAAATAGTTACATGAGACGTAAGTATAGGGAATTTCTGCAGCCTCAATAGCTCTTCGGGTTTTGGCTTGCGCAGCAAATGTAGACTTTACTGGCTCCACAGCATTGATAATTCTATCGACATCCATAGCAAACTCCGAAGGGAAGAACCTCTGAATTTTTTTTAGCACAAGATAATTTAGCTCTGTGAACACATTGGGTGTGTTTGGTATGAAGGAAAATGTTTTCCTGGAAAACAAGTAGATTTTTAAATTATTTTCTAATGTTTGGGTGGGTTGGGGGAGGGGGGCTCGAGGGTAGGGGTGAAAAAATTAAATTTTGAAGTTGAAAATATTTTTAAAAAACAAACTTAAATTTTTTTTGGGTGGGGTGGGGGGAGGGGGTCGAGGGTAGGGGTGAAAAAATTAATTTGAAGTTGAAAATATTTTTTAAAAACAAACTTAATTTTTTTGGAGGGAGGTGGAGGCTGATGGGGGTCATGGGTAGGGACGGGGTGGGGTGAAAAATAAAAATTTGAAATTGAAAATATTTTTTAAAAACAAACTTAATTTTTTTGGAGGGAGGTGGAGGCTGATGGGGGGTCATGGGTAGGGACGGGGTGGGGTGAAAAAATAAAAATTTGAAATTGAAAATATTTTTTAAAACAAATTATAATTTTTTTTGGTGAGGGGGGTGGGGGTTGGGAACTGGCAAGGGTTGAAAAATTAAAAATTTGAAGTTGAAAATATTTTTTTAAAAATAAGCTTTAAATTTATTTTTCAACAAAAAATTAGTAATTTGAAATTGGAGGAAAGTTTTGGAAAATGTTTTTCTTAATTTTTGAAAGGAAGTCATTTTTAAGAACAAGATAATTAATTCAAACGATTTTCAGATTCTCTAGTGAATTATTCTTCCAAATTTGAGGCATTTACGCGAACTTGCTGCATATTTCTGTCATACACTTGGTTATGCAGATCAAGATCTTTCCACTAGGCCATGTTAACAAGTAGTAATCTAACTCATTTTATTACCTTAAATCAACGAGACGAATTCTCCCTTAGTTAGAGGGTATGTTGCTCGGACTCTCCAAATATGTTGCTGAACCCATGTTGGATCCTTCAAAAATACACTACTTTTGGACGATTCAACACGCAACCACCAACATTATTGACTTATCTGAGCAACATAGATTTAAGGTCCCTTTGATACTCCAAATTCTCTAATTCAAATGTGATCTATAAATTCAAGAACTTTATCAACAATTACTATATTCAAGATCACCATCATCCCCTCTGCCCCAAGTTTACACCCTTAACCAGAGGTCTCGAGTCAAAGCCAGTTGTGAAAACCAGAAGTAACTAACCTTAATATTGCCAGCTTCTTTGATAGCATCAACGATTTTAAATTGATCAGCCAATTGCGCATCACCAACAGTTGATATCACCACATCCACTTGTTTTATAGCCTTCAACAAACTCTCATGATCATACAAATCACCCTGTTCAAAAAACAAGAAACTAAAATATACTTGCATATACAATTTATTAACAAATGCATCATATAAATATACATACATTAATAATAGTGACACCCAAATTCTTGAAATTTTCAACAATTTTGCCCTTAACAGGATCAGAAATTGTGGTCTCTCTAACTAAAGCACAAGTTGGGTGTCCAGATTTTGCACTTGCTTCCACTACAAATTTTCCAATATACCCTGTTCCTCCAATGATCAAAACTTTGCTTTTATCAGCCATTTGATAAAATAAAACTTAAAGATTTTGAGTTGAAATTAAAGAACTTTCTCAAGAATTTATTAGTTGTGTTGTTTTGTGTATAAAACATGCTAAGGCAACATCATTTTATGCAATGAGGTGGGGAGCTGTAATTACCAAAATGACCTTGCTGTTCCAACTAACTGTCTTTATGAATATTGTCTTTGCTTCCTTTGAGGTGCATCAACCTACTACACTGGTCTATTTTTATTTGTTCACCATTTACATGGTATGGCCAATAAATACTTTATTTTATTATATTATTCTTTAAATATACAAAATTTAGTATTTTTAGTGCCGTAGATATAAATTATATACCTTCAAAACATCCAATGAAATCAAAATGATACAAATAAAATTAATAGTTTCTATGCAAAAATAACATGTATAAAATGTAGTGCTAGTGCTGACCATATTAAATATGATTCCAAAGCATGTCCAAATCATGTTACATATGATTCCAAATCATGTCCAAATCATGTCAGATATGATTCCAAAACATTTAATTTTTGTATTTAATTTAATTTTTTTATCCGATTTTTCTTTCTCTCTCTGACGCTTAGTAATTCGTGCCATATTTTGTGGAGTGCTATTAGGTAGTATTAAATTTATCAAATATTCTCTCTCCTTAAACACTCACATTCACACGTTTGTTTATTACTCCCTCTGTATGACACTTTTCATTTTTCGAGAGTCAAACAATTTAAGTTTGACAACGAATTTGCACATGAAATCTTTAAATATTTTGCAATGAAATTTATATATTTGTAAACTATATAAAAAGTACTATAAGTCACAATAATTGATAAATCAAGATGTTTAAAAGATCTATAAAAAACTTACGATCAAAGATAGATTTGGTTGAATCTCAAAATCCAAAAAGTGTCACATAAAATGGGACAGAGGAAGTATTATTTTTTCCTTTTTTACGTTTTTGTAGTCATTTATTGTTATCATATTAATGTATTCCCTTTTATATAAAGATTTGTATGGTACTAATAAAGTTGGTACATTTATCAATAATTGAGTTATAGTTCCAATAAATATTAGAAATCCTTTTTTCACACGTTTCAATATTTTTTTAATATTTCCTCTTTTACGTTTTCTAGTCTTTTATTGGGATAATATTAATGTATTCCTTTTATATAAAGATTTTTATGGTACTAATAAAGTTGGTACATTTATCAATAACTGAGTTATAGTTCTAAGAAATATTAGAACTACATTTTTCAGCAGTGTTTTATTTGGAAAATATAATTTAGACTAGTTTTAAGAGTCGCCACTTAATTTTTAAGGTAAAATTAAGAAAACTGATTTTTCAATAGATTAAAACAGGAATCGATTGAAAATATTTAAGGGGGGTTCGGGGTTCATATTAGCATTTCGGGAAGGGTTTGAAAGCACCTAAATGTCCGCTAATACGCGGTTATCCGACAATTAATTATTTGGCTAAAAGATTTAAAATAAAACATTTTTGTTTGAAGAAATAACAACTTAAGACCTGAACTTGTTTTTAAAAGGGAAAGGGTGATGAAATAAAAATATTAGTTAAGTACTAGATATTTAAAGTCAAATAAAATACTTATTTGATTTTAAAGATATGGTTGTTTCGTCTTTTGGGGAATTGAATTACGAAAAAACCTTAGAATTAACTAACAATAAACAGTTAGACAAATACGAAAACAAATAAGATAAAGAGGGAGAGAAGGTTTAGGCCTAAGTCTGATTTTCTGTCCGCCTAAGCCAGTACTTGGGTCTATATTCAAGTTTGGGCCCTTGACCCATTTTGTACCTGTACTAAAACTAACATAAAAAGAAATATATTATTTGGGCCTTAGGCCCAATTTTCACCTGTCCTATGTTCTAACAATATGGTAATAAGTGGGCTTAGTCCCAAAGGTAACAAAATAAAATCAAGAAAAAAAAAGATGGGCTTCCGAGCCCAATTTTGTCATATAAACAACATATACATTGAGTGTATACTGTTGTATATTTGCGTATCCCGACTCCAATTTCCAGTATTTTTCTTGTTTTCGAACAGCTGCACTTTTGAAGTCTTTGACTCGAAAAAGGGTTGACTCAAGAATGGCTTTGGGCCTGAGTGGCCCGATCGATGATGCAAGAAAGGGATTTGGATCCCAACAGAATCATCCACGGTTGCTCACAACAAACAAGATAAAATAAAACTAGTTAGCAAAAGAAGAATAAATCTATGATAGTTAAGAAATTTATTAGCCCTCGAAATTAATTCATAGGAGACAAACATGAAGACATAACCAATTTTACATATACTTTCAAAAACTAAAGATAAAAAGAAAAGAGTATCAGCGAGGTGCCATCCAACAAATACATGCATATACATTACAGGCCTATAAGACTAGAATTAATCTTCATGGTCAAATCAAGTAACACAATCTCAATAGCAATTAATATTGAGTAACCAACTCATAGAGTGCAATTACGGACTAAATGTCAATAGGCAGTAGTAGTCATATAGCAAACAACTATAAAACAATATGAACTTAGGACCAACGGGACCAGGCATCAAAGCACGGATTCTCCAGGGAGCTTTTGGGTTAAAATAATGAAGATCTCTTATCAAAATACACAATGAATCTGGACAACGGCTAATCTTGATGTTAAAATCAACTTAGCACTTATTTAACAAATGCGCACCATAACACACTAGCAGGAGATAAAAATTCGATATGTTCTAAAAAATATTTCAACACGACCTAAATCTGGATGCTATTGAGAAACCAAGATGAGCTTAAATAATTAACGATCAATACCAAACCCATTACAGGTAGAAAAATAAGCTTCAAACATGTTCATGCCCTCATGGGAGGAAAATGAGAAAAAAACAAGGTTTAAACAAACCAAAGAATCACGCCATATTTTAGATAGAGAAGACTGAAACGGGACTTGACCAAATGATTGTTAACTAAGCTTAAAACATAGAAGACAAGCATGAAAATAAACTCAAAAAAATGAATAGAAGCTAAGTGACTACTATGTCCAACAAACGATAAATAATACGACATACAACCTCTATATCAACTATTTTATTTTATTTTAGATTCTGCCTTATGTTTTGAAATAAAAGAAAAGAAAGACAACATTACAGTAGGAAAATGAATGAAACTAACATGCTGTAAGAAAAAGAAGATATAGCCAGAAGATATAAGGGCAAACATACAAGAAGTAAACTAGCAAAAAAAAACGAGTTCAAACTAAGGAGCATATATAAGAGCAACGATGCCAATACGGTACAAGACACTGATTTGACATCAAAACCGAATCAATATAATCTATAAAGAACAGAATATCGCATTAATAAATCACTAAATCAATCACTAACAGCGAACCAGTCATTTAATGAGGCTCTCTGACATAAAAAATTATCACTTCTAAACAGAAGAAAAGGCAAGGAAGATACTATAATGGAGGAGGCATTACCTTCTTGTGTGCAGCGAAACAGGGACGGTGATGATCTTGGAGACGACTATTCCACCACCACACTCAAATATGCGTAATGAACCAGAAGTCCAGGCAGAAATTCGGACTCAAATAGACGCTGTGAAGTGAGAGTAAACTAGAAAGGAGAATGACACTCGAAGCGTGTTTTGTATATATTTCTCTAGCTATTTCCTACTGTGCTATTCTCTTTTCCTTAGTAAATTTTTTCCCAACTAAAAAATATCTCCCCTTTCACAGTGAACAACAGGCAATATATATATAAGGGAATAGGGTTTGGAAATGGGGAAAACGGACCAAAAATCGGGCAAACCAAGGCCCAATTCCAAATTCAAAAATAAAAAATCTTTCACCAGTCAAGCTAAACACCCTTTTTTTCTGAAATTTCGTCCCATTCCGGAAGAGGAAATGGGACAGTCGCGTGCTGCTGCTACGTAGTACTGTTCGAGAGGGATGGGAGCAGACGACGCTGCAACTGGATTAGACTGGACTCGCTGTCGCTGGGTCGGTGAATGGGTTTTCTTGCGTGAAGAAGACGCAGGGGTCAGTGTTGTATTGCACGTTGCTGCTATTGATGTTGTAAGATGGTGTTAACGTTGGAAGTGTTTTGCTGTGTACAGCTGTTCCTGGGTTACTTTTGAGCAAGATTGGGCCGGGTCGGGGGGAGAAAAGTGGGTTGGGTTGCTGGAAATTTGGAAATTGGAATGGGTTGAAGAATAAAAAGGGAAGTTGGGTTTCTGTAAATAGGAATATGGGCTGCTGGAAATTATTGAATGAAGGGCCCAAAAATAGTCTTTTGGTGAGTTTAAAATAAGATATAGCCAAGTGAATTAATAATTTAGCCAAATCGAATTTAATTTGTAAATTCGGCTAAAATCTAATTAATATAATTAATTTAGGAACTTCTCAATCGTAACGAAACAAAATGATTAACTTAGTTATAAAATATTCAATTTGAATACAAGCTAATTACTTCAAAATTTAAGATTACAATTCAAGCCAAAACTAAATTATCAAAATACTTATTTTAATAATGTAGAAATCTTTTGATATGATTTTCAAATATTTATGAAATATACTAATTACGCACATATATAATTATACGAAATATGTTTATTATTTAAAATACTATAAAATCTACGGAGATACTTAAAATAACCTTGAAACTATTTGAATTTTGTAAAGCTAATTATTCTAAATCATTTGAAAATTAAGAAGCTCAAAAATTAACTTCTATCGGGGAGGGTCAAAATTGGGTGTGTCAACAAGCAGTATATCGATTAACCCTTCAATTTTCTTCATCCATATCTCACTAACCTTACATCTTCTCCACTTAATCGTCTCTCATTCCAATTCGATGGTGAAGACGCAGCGTAAAAGTCCTAGGCTTAACAAATTTGTGGTTGTCGTTGATAGCACACCCAAAATTTGTTTAAGACCATCTTTTGAGTTGAATGCATTCACTCAATTGCCTGACAAAGTTCGTATTAAAGATGCCAACGAATTCTCTGATAGAATTAATGAGTATTGTTATAAAAAAAATGAACTGTGTGTTTGATAAAGCGGTTTAAAAATGATGTTGAATTATGATT